CCTTCCGGCTGCCATGCTCTTTCAATAAACCTTTAATTATTATTATAATTTATTATTGCACACCAGGTAAGGATATCGAGTTGGTTTTTTGTCTCATAAACACATCCTCAAGATCATCCTCATCCTCCACCACGCCTCACACGCCCTGGAGTGCGCGGCAGAGTGCATCGATGACTGCGCAGCGTAAACGTGCGTGTCTCTGCGTACCATCACGTGGCTGCGGACGGCGGTGCGTAACGATTGATTGGTGTTATGGACCACAGAACCTTCGATGCGTAACAGATAACAGGTCACATGTAACAGGTAACAGATAAGAGCTAACAGGTCACAGGTAACAGCTAACAGGTAACAGGTAAGTCCCAGCTCTCTCTACCCGCACAGGTAAGGTAATAAGAGCATAGCGGAGGAGTAAGAGATAAAATACGAATAGACGGAGAGACGACGGATGAAGAGAGAAGGGGAAAAGAGAGATGTAAATTAGAGAGATAAAACTAAGAAGAGAGACAGATTATTAAAGAAAAGAGACGAAGAAAAACAGAGAGAAAAAGCCAGAGACGGAGAGACTGATTACGAAAGAGACCGAGAGAGAGAGAGTGAGTGAGACAGACAGACAGTAAAGAAATTCCCATGTTAAACACCTCACTTCCCCCCCCCCTCACCCTGGCTTGTCTTTTCACAGCATCACACGACAGCTGTTCCCTCGTGTCAACACAACAGGGGGCTCCTCACCTACGTACACCAGGAGTCAACATACACACTCCTACGTGCCTCCCACCTCCTTCTGTCAATAGAAAAGGAAAAGTGCTGGGTTTCTTTTCTCTCTCTAAGTATAACAATGAATAAGAGAGAGAGAGAGAGAGAGAGAGAGAGCTGTGAGATAGTCGTGGGAAGAGAGAGAGAGAGAGAATGTGATCACCCATGTTTTTCCCTCCTTACATCCGGTCACTCGATCATTGTCTGGTATGAGTGGTAATGCTTCCTCATATTGCCTGTTTAGTCGAGCACACAGGTTCGAGGTTTTGTTGCAAGGAATGTATGTATGTATGTATGTATGTATGTATGTATGTGTGTGTGTTTTCTTGGGTTTAATTTCTCTCTCTCTCTCTCTCTCCATACACACAAGGACCATCATCACAACACCACACGGATCATAGAACAACTGTATCACCTACTCAACGCATCACCAATGTCTTCCGCTTGATCGACCACCTGGCGTTAGAAAAACCGACTCCTCTTCGTTGACAACCATTAGATTCGCGCTAGTTCACCTACGAGTGTGGTGGTGGTGGTAGGGGGGGGGATGGTGGTAGGAGAGGGTGGTCTGCTGGGGGTGGTAGTGACAGTAGGGGAAGTAAAGGGAGGGGGGAGGGGCCACTTTCGCCGTCAGTAGTGTGTGAAGAGGTGCAATATCTAAGGTCAGGAAAACTAGTGACATCTGCCGGGAGTCTGACGATGGAAAGTTGTTGACTGGAGGAGGGGGTGATGGAGGAGGTGTGCCTTAGAGAGGGAGAGGGTGATGATTTCTCCAGAGGGATGAGAGAGAGAGAGAGAGAGAGAGAGAGAGAGAGAGAGAGAGAGAGAGTTACCAGACGTAAAAAAAAGATATATTGGCAGACAGACAGACAGACAGCGACAAAACAGACCCAGACAGACAGACAGACAGACAGAAACACAGATAGACAGAGAAAGTGTGAGAGAGAGAGATGGTAAAAACAGAGATTGGTAGAGAGCATAAGACAAATAGATAGCGATTCTGCAAATATGTATACACACACACACACACGTACACAAGCTTACCTAACGCGGGATTCACTGTGTATGTATGAACGTGTGTGTGTGTGTATATATGTGTGTGCGCGTGTTCATGTTTGTTTGTTTGTGTGTATTTGATGCTTCTCTCTGCTTTAGTGAACAGCGGTCCATAAGTCTGTGTGTTTTTCTCCCTCCGCGGGTGGGTTCATAGGGTGGGTTCAAGGGGTGGGTTCAGGAGGTGGGTTATGGGGTGGGTTCAAGAGGTGGGTTCAAGGGTGGGTTATGGGATGGGTTATTGGATGGGTTCAAGGGTGGATTCAGGAGGTGGGTTAAGGGGTGGGTTCAGGAGGTGGGTTATGGGGTGGGTTTATAGGGTGGGTTCAGGGGTTGGTTCATAGAGTGGGTTCGTGGGATGGGTTCGTGGGGTTAGGTTAGGTTAGAATAGTGTTCGTTTGATACTTAGCTTTCGTGTGGCTAAGCGTTCGTAAGGCGGATTAGTGTTTCGTGTGGCAGGTTTTAGCCGTGGGAACTAGAAGAAGGGGGGGGGAGGGGGAGTTAGCTACCGGTTGTGTTCTTTCGTTTGTGAATTATTTCCGGTTTGTGATATGGAACAGGATTTATGAGTTCTGTGGTAAATATTTCTCTCTCTCTCTCTAGATAATGATGACCCGTGAAAACCGTGGAGGGAGAGAGGGAGAGAGAGAGAGAGAGAGAGAGAGAGAGAGAGCAGACAAATGTAAACAAAGAAAACCAGAATATCACAAGCAATAAAAAAGCAAAAACAATAATACATCCTCTTAAAAATCCGGATTGATGACTGCCGAACGCTCTCCTCCCTCCCTCCCTCCCTCTGTCCCTCCCATGACCTTTAAGCAGTACTTCTCCACCCCATCCCCCCCCTCACACACACAAGGGGTTACGTCCTCTGATTACACACCCCCTACCCCCATCTCTACCCCCACCTCACCCCTCCCACTCCCTCACCTAACCCCCACCCCCCAATCTCCTTACCTGGACGTCAGTTCTGTGGTGTTCCGAGGTCTGTCTGCGTGGTTGTGGATTATTTTACCTTTTTTTTATTTAGATTCGTAAAGATTAGCCACTCGTTCGTGATTGGATGAGGTTTGGTTCCTTTTTTTATTCAGATTAGAAGAGATTAGACGTTTGTTCGTGATTGGATATTGTTTTAATCCTTTGATATTTAGATTAGAAGAATAGATTAGCCGTTCATCTATACTTACGAGCTTACAGGTGTGGATAGGTATTTTCTCAGAGGCAGATGTGTGGAATAAAGTCACATATATACCCCAGGAAGTTTATATATATGTTTCCTTCAATGTTTATACTCCAACAGCACTTCCTTGTTTCTTAGGTACATATCTGACTGGTTTTTGAGTCTTCAGGTGTGTTTTTAGGTGTTCGGGTGTGTGTGTGCGAGAGTCGTGACCCAAACACCTGTGTGGGTCAGTTATACTGTTCTCATTACTGCCCCCTGGTTACCTGTGTAGAAGTCCACCTTGTTTATAACTAGTAAAATGTCATTGTTTTCACCGTGGAGCCATTACCTCAAAAATATGTAAATTATGGAGACCAAATGCAAGTTTTTGTTGTCGATTCGTGAGCGGTGTTGAGTGAGTGACCCGCATGTGTGTGTGGTGGGAGAGGAAGGAGGTAGGGAAGGAGGGAAGGAGGGAGGAAGGAAGAGGGTGTTGACGTGACCTCTGGCTGTGACCTGTACACCTGTTCGTTTGTATACACCTGTAGGGTCATGTTTGAGACAGGTGTATATGTAGGTTATGCGGCAGTGATTTTGGGGTGTAAATATAGAGAGTAATTGGTGTATAGGTCTTGCTTCTGTGTCTCTCTCTCTCTCGGTCTCTCTCTCAGGTAGAACAATAATCCAACTACCTGGCGAAAACTAATTAACACACCTATTGTTTACATTTAGATCACCTGTGTCAAATGAAGTCCTTTCTTGTCGCCGGGAGAAAGTTCCATTGTCACTGACTTTCTACCTGTCACCTGAAGAATAGCCTCACGAGTGCTTTGGGAGGGAAAGTAGCCCCCTAGTGTTATTGGGAGGAAAAATAGCCCTGTAATGTTACTGGGCAGAAAAAATAGCCCAGTAGTGTTATTGGGAGGAAAAAATAGCCCCCTAGTGTTATTGGGAGGGGAAAATAGCCCCTAGTGTTATTTGGGGGGGAAATAGCCCCCCGAGTGTTATTGGGAGGGAAAATAGCCCCCGAGTGTTATTGGGAGGGAAAAATAGCCCCCTAGCTTATGTCACCTGATGATTAAGCACCTTAACGCTACCCTTTGTTAAAAAAAAGAACCCATGAAATCTTGAAGACATTTTACTAAACCTTACAATATATATGTAACCCACACACATAGCAAACACATAAATCACATAATCACATAAATGTCACATAATCACATAAAGATCACATAAGTCACATAAAGATCACATAAGTCACATAAAAGTCACATAAAAGTCACATAGACGTCACTGGGGCCCAATTGATCAAGTTACCTTAGGTTGGGGCCTATTAGGACAGGGGCCCAAGTGACCAAGAACTCTCACACTACTGGGTCTTGCTGTACCGAAGCACATTCAGGCTGAGACGAATGTGTGGACAGACGGCCTGTAGGGATGGACGGACTGACAGACAGACAGAGACATAATAACATAAGGAGTCTGCAATAGGCCGGTTGGCCTGTGCATGGCAGCTCCTGTCGAGAGTTACTACCACTCTCTATCATCCAAGAATCTATCTAGCCTCCTTTTGAAACTTTCCAGCGTTCCAGCACTTACTACAAAGTTGCTAAGCTTGTTCCACTCGTCCACCACCCTATTTGTGAACCAGTTCCTTCCCATCTCCCTCCTAAACCTAAACTTATCCAACTTAAATCCGTTGCTCCGAGTCCTATCCTGCTCGGATATTATAAGAACTTTATCTACGTATATCCCCTTTATTGATTCCTTTCACCCACTTAAATACTTCTATCATATCTCCCCGCACTCTTCGTCTTTCTAGGGAATGCAAGTTTAGTTTCTTTAACCTATCCTGATATGGAAGGTTTGTAAGTCCCGGAATCATTTTCGTCATTCTTCGCTGCACCGACTCCAGTGAATTTATATCCATTCTATAATAAGGGCACCAGAACTGAACCGCATAATCGAGATGCGGCCTGACTAGTGCAAGATATAGTTGCAATAAGACCTCTGCACTCTTATTACTTACACTTCTAGATATAAAACTTAATACTCTGTTTGCCTTATTTTGAACATTAACGCACAGACAGACAGACAGACAGATATAGATGTGAAAAAATAACAAAAACATTCAACATTCAAACATTAACCAGGATTTCTGAGGATAGGTAAATGTGATGTTTTTAATGTTGATTTATGTACAACATCCAGGTAACATCACACATACGACCTCTTTATTCATGTTTACACTATGATAAACCTCAACATTCATATAAAATCACAGAAAAAAACCTTATAAGTTGATGTTTACACAGTACGATAACCTCTCCAGAGATCAGCGGCAGCACTAGAAGGTGGGCAGTCTGGCACGCCGGTTCGTGTTACCAGTGACGGGAGAAGAACGTGGGGTCCATATATACACCTTGGAGGGCTTCCCATTGTAAACAAAATTCTTCTTCAGGGTCAACCACGGCCGTTTGGAAGGCTTCATCGTGGTTGTGATTAGTGCCTGAAGCTTCGTGGTTGATGGCTGAGGCATTGTAGTTGGGAATTCTGCCATTGTTGTGGGTGGTTCGGGCGTCACACTCGATAGATTTGATGATGTGGTTAAGAGCTGTGATGATGGTGACGTGGTTGATGGTTGAGTGGTAATAGAGGTTTGGGTTACGTATGTGGTTGATAGTGATGGTGGTAGTTGAGGTGATGGACGGTAGATGGGAGAGTTGTACAAGGGGAGGTTCCAATGGTAGACTTTGTGTGGTTTTCCATTGTTGATAAAATCGACCGAGACCTGAAGAGAGAAACAGGAAAGGTTAGGTTACGTTAGGTTAGGACTCTCTCTCTCTCTCTCTCTCTCTCTCTCTCTCTCTCTCTCACACACACACACACCAACAAATACTGGAACCCACAAACACTAGAACCCACAAACAATGGAACCAACAAACACTAGAACCCATAAACACTGTAACCCACAAACACTAGAACCCACAAACACTGGAACCCACAAACACTAGAACCCACAAACACTGGAACCCATGACCACTAAAACCCCAAAACACTGGAACCCACTAACACCAGAACCCACCAACACTAGAATCCACTAACACCGGAACCCACCAACACTAGAACCCACAAACACCGGAACCCCCAAACACCGGAACCCCCAAACACTGGAACCTACCAACACTAGAACCCACAAACACTGGAACCCACAAACACTATAACCCACAAGTACTGAAGCCCACATGACCCACACCACACACCTACTAAATCAACACAATGACAACAAAAACAAGAAATAGGTTCGTGGCGTCAAATTAATCGGAGCGTGAAACAAACTTATGACGAGGCCAGACACAGGTAAGTAGAGGCTGTACTTACCTGAACCTGTTTGGGCAGTAGAAAGTCCCCCCGGGGTTCAAAATTATCACTTGGGTTATAACATGTAAAAAAAAATAATAAAAAAAATAAAGTGATCTGTTATGCTGACCTCTTCTGTCATTGGTAAGAATTTCTATAAAAAATTCTTTGGGTAAAATTCCAAACTTGAAGATTTACTGTACTAATTTCAACCTAACCTAACAAAACCTAATCTAACCTTACCTAAAACTAACTTAATCTAAACTAAACAAACCTAACATAAAACTAACTTAATCTAACCAAAACTGACCTGAAATAGACTAGAACACCTAATCATCACCTAATTAACCTCAGGGGGGGGGGGCTAATTAACAGGTAACCCCCCAAACTGTTCTTACCTTATGATGCGGCAGGTGGACGGTAGGTGACGGGATGGTGTTATGGGAGAAATAATAGGCTGAAGGAGGCAGACGTATGTAATATATAGGTGACTCTCCTTGTCGAGGCCTCCCCTGGGTCACCTTCACCTCACCTGTCCGACTCTCACCTAGACGTTTGATCACCTGAAAGAGGGAGAGACTGTTAGGAGATAAATTGAGAGAGAGAGAGAGAGAGAGAGAGAGAGAGAGAGAGAGAGAGAGACTTATTAATATATATGTTGACAGCGAGAGCGAGATATAAACAGACAGACACAGACAGGCAGAGCGAGAGAGACAGACAGACAGGAAAAAATAAAAAGAGAGATAGACAGAAAGAGATAAAAGAGAGAGATAGAAAACACATAAGAAATATCTCTACTCTCTCATTCTGTTATCTCACATAATTGAGGACCTACAAGTAAACTAATTGAAACCAAGATTATTTGTGCTTTGTTTTTTCTTTGTCGAGTTCATTTGCATATTCCTTGACGCTTGTTGATTCTTCTTCTTCTTCTTCTTCTTCTTCTTCTTCTTCTTCTTCTTCTTCTCCTACTTCTACCTCAACTTCTTGTTATTATTTTCTTTTCTCCTTCTCCTTCATTGACAGTATTACTCGTATCACTCTTATTATCGTTAACATTATCATCCTTCAACTCCCATGATTTTGTTATATCATACAAATCTATACCACAAACCCATCCCACAAAACCAGCATACAATCCCATCCCATCCCACAAAACCATCCCACAATCCCATCCTACAACACACAGACTTTCTCTATAATTATGGGTTAAAATTTTAGTCCCAGGGATATAAAGAAAACGGGGTATTATTAGCGAGAAGTGATTATTAAGGCATAACGTGTGTGTGTGTGTGTGTGTGTGTGTGTGTGACCTCTCTGTCTCTCTTCCAAAAAATTTACATTGCTTTTTTTTACGTCTATGAAACACACCTGGAAATTTTACCTCAACGCAGACACTCGTGTAAGAAAAAAAGGTGTTGTGACCTCTTAATTCCCCCTCACCTGACCTCTACATGACCTCTCTACGATGACAAAGACAACAAGAGGAAACCAGAATGACCTTTGACCTTAAACATTTAATAAGAATATTGACCTTATAAATTACAAGGGCAGGTGATAATGTTACCTGAACTGCTGTTAGTACAGGAGTTAATGATGACCTTTGACCTGTGTAATGTGACGTGTATAAAACAAGAACATTGACCATCTTGTTGATAACGGTGTAGGATGTTGGTGATGGCTTGACGCTCTCTCTCTCTCTCTCTCTCTCTCTCTCTCTCTCTCTCTCTCTCTCTCTCTCTCTAAATGAGGAAGGAAGAAGGTGGGGAGCTTACCTACTGCTGGGGAGCACGGAAATTGTTGGGGGAGGAAGATAGGGAGATAAAACTCACCTCCAACCCTCCTGACAGTGACCTGGTGTTGTCTCCAGAGGGCGCCCCGATCACCGCCACCAACACGCTGTAGAAGGAAGGTCAGGTCAGGTCAGGTCTTGTGTGATGATGGACAATTTGTGTATTATGAGATCACCTGAAGATTAACCCCCCCCCAAGCTTATTTCATCTGGCTAACCTAACCTAACCTTTATCTGACCCTGACGCTAACCAAATGATAACCTAATCTAACGTAACCTAACCCAAATTCTAACCTAACCTGATCTAACCCTTATATGACCCTGATACTAACCTAACCTAACCCTAATCCAACGCTAACCTAATCTAACCTAACCTAACCCAGCACTAACCTAATCTAACCAAACGCAAACCTAATAAAAGTAAAAGATACACAAATAAAAGAAAATAAAGTAAATAGAGTAAATAAAGTTTAATCTCCTTACGGTGTTAATAGAGTGAGGAAGATGAAGATGATTGTAATAGTGTATGGAGCAGTATGCAAATGAGGTCATCGACATTTCCTCTTTAATAGCGGTATTCAGTCGTCCTCGGTAATGGTAGAGTTTTAACCTCTCGAGTACGATAAATGAGTCTCCGAGTACGATGATTTAGTTCCTTGAGTACGATGATTTTACCCCTAAAGTATGATAATTAGGCCCCTTCGTACAATGACTTAGCCCCTTGATTACGGTGATTTAACCCTGAGTACGATGATTTAGCCCTTTGAGTACGATAACTAAACCCCTTGATTACGATAACTAAACCCCTTGATTACGATAACTTAGCCCCTTCAGTACGACGACTTCCTTTTACAGCTTGAGTAAGACTTTGAAATTTTAAGTTGTCGTACTCGGGAAGTATTGTATTTAAAACAAGTAGACATCGTAGCTTAAGCGGTTACAATTACTACAATACAGTTAACGATAAATAAACGCCAAAATTAAAATATAAATTCATGTCAAAATCGTACATAAGCGAATATAATATGTTAAACAAATTATAAGAGAATAGAACAATAAGCTATAAACTCCATCAAAAACAAATGCAAGTGCTTCAGGTAACGCATAACAAGATTAAACACTAAGGAACAGGTTCGGTGATCTAGTTTAAAGTCATTCAAGACTCTTGCAGTGAACAGAAGGACGAGACAAGGTTTTATAACTTGATTAGTCTACTGTTTATATAAGTGTCTTCAGAATTTCATTGCCTTTGTTTGTTTATGTATATGAAATGACGACAAAAAAGTTGAATTAATGTTGTATTATATGTATAACGTTATTTAAAATATACATATACCAGCATGTATTCCTAATCAACTGATGGATAATGCAATGTATATATTTTCATGTGAGGGACATCAGGTGTTGTATTTTTCCACGAATAACTTTTTAACTCAATAGATATCGCTTCTCAGAGTTCAAGTATCACTCAGACCTAAATACAGAGGTCATAGTGTGGTGTGGCTACTGACGGAGGCGTGGCTACTGACGGAGGCGTGGCTACTGACGGAGGCGTGGCTAGTGACGAAAGTGTAGCGACAGTCGGGGGCGCCAATAGTGTGCAGTCATTGGCGAAAATCATCATCTTTTGTTGTTCCACCCGAGCGAGGCATTGTTGACGGTAGCGCATTTATCAGGTATTTAAGAGACCGGGCAATTTACCTTCACCCTGAGAAGTTCATTGTAACTTAATCATGTTCCGAAACGCGATTGAGTGAGTGAGTCAGGTGGTGAGGGGGGGGAGGGAAGGCGGGGGACGTGTCTCTCTCTCTCTCTCTCTCTCTCTTCGAGCTATAGAGATATCAAGGTCGTTTAGTGATCGGTTACAGCCAAAAATCACTGTATCAGAGAAGAGAGAGGAGAGAAGAGGAGGAGACGGTGGTAGAAGTGTCGGAATTGAATGTTTTCGAGTGGGTTGAGAGGGCCGACTTCCTCCTGGTTGACGGCCGATGTAGGTCAACTCAGATCTACCGTGACATCACTTCTGTTTTTTTTTTAATAGTCTACCCGTTCATTTGACCATTTTCTTTGGCATCCGTTCCATCATTAATACTTGTTCGTGTGATTGGCTCCCCTCCTATCCGCCCCCCCGTTCTTTTCTCCCTGTATCATGCCTTTATCACTGCGAGAGAGAGAGAGAGTAGGCAGATATAACGTGAAGAGAAGCTAAAGAGATAAATATATCCCCTTGTGTAATGAGGCAACAGAGAGAGAGAGAGAGAGAGAGATAACGATCAACATACATAAATTAATAGATATAACAGTCTTACCACCCGGAGTGTCGGTAAATCATGAATTAGGTAAATAAAAACAACACAGGAATCTCGTCAGGTTAAAAACTCACCCACAGATACTCATTACAAGAGATAGTTCCCACGAGGAGATTTCAGTACCTCCCTCCTCCCTCCCTCCTCTCCCCCTCCTCCCTTACCTTCCCCCTCCCTCCTCCCTCCTCCCTCCTACCTTACCTTCCTCCCTCCCTCCCTCCCTCCCTCCCTACCCACCCCCTCCCTACCTCCCTCCCTCCCTCTCCCCTACCTACCCCCTTCCTCCTCCCTCCTTTCCCTCCTCCCTACCTACCCCCTTCCTCCCTCCTTTCCCTCCCTCCCCACCCCCCTTCCTCCCTCCTTTCCTCCCTACCCCCCCCTTCCTCCCCTCCTCCCTACCTACCCCTTCCTCCCTCCTTTCCTCCCTACCTAACCCCCCTTACCTACCTCCTTTCCTCCCTACCTACCCCCCTTCCTCCCTCCTTTCCTCCCTACCTCTTTACACCTTCCTCCCTACACATCTCTCTCTCTCTCTCTTCCGGGTTAACGCCTCCTGCTCTCACCTCTCATCATGTTTTTGTCCCGACGACGCATAAATCCCTCACCTGGATGACAAAGACGACTCGATGAACTTAATTAATAGCTAGATTTTACCGTTAACACACAGAGGAGGTTAAACGAACGAGACCATTCGTTATAGGATATATATTCCCCGTTATAAGAGAAACAACCTGTATCCTTCGCTTTATCGGGGTTTTGTGGGTCATGTCGCCTACCTGTGGGCGATTACCTGTGCTGGTAATTAAGGCCCAGGTACTGCAGACGCTATTGCTACTTCAGACAGGTAAGTTTTCATCAGCACTCAGGCCAGGTAGGACTCCCCCAAGGCTAGGTAATCATAACACACACACACACACACACACACACACACACACACACACACACACACACACACACACTGCTCTCTGTACCCTAATGTTTAATACATATATATACATAATTTATATACATACCACCCCTGTCCTGTCCCTACATACGCCTCTCTCTCCTCCTCTCCTCTCCTTCCTCCTCCTCTCCTTCTTCCTCCCAAACCATCAAGACGACAGTGAAGAATGAGGTAATTAATTTTATCTTATTACTGTCGCTATTGTCTGTCTCTCTGTATGCCTGTGTGTGTGTGTCTGTCTGTCTGTCTCTCCATCCGTTTTCCTTCTGTTTGTGAGAGAGAGAGAGAGAGAGAGAGAGAGAGAGAGAGAGAGAGACGCCCCGAGATAACGCATTAGTTCGTGCTAATAATAATCTTTCTAAACAACAGGGAGTAATTTAATCCGTGCAATTACCACTAAGAATGTGTTACCACCAACTACCCTGAGAGTGATAAGTGGCTGGTGTTAGGTGGCAGGTAAGCCCCGGGGGAAGGTGAACACGCAGCTCAAAGATCATCAAACTCCTTATAAAAAACAATACGAGACAAGTGACCATCACGAAGCGCACCAACTCTCGCCAAGTGCCTGAACTCGCTTGGCCTTCACCCTGACCTGTTATCGTGACCTTTAATCCACTCCCTGTGATGTATATGAACTTTTCTTTTGACCTAAAATCAAGCATTCAACCTTTTTTCTGTCTGAATTAGCTCTGTTGTTTTCGATATAGTTTGAGTAACACACAGGCGCATACAACAAAGACAAAAAATAAATAATTCTAAAACACAAAAAATAACAAAAATATATATCAATTGTGTCAAGCAGAAAGGAATTTAGTTTTATGTTACCGAAGTTTTATACAAAAAGTGAACTTCATTTGACCCGCCTTGCCTCAAGCGGCGCCACCAGCAACCACAAAACAAAAGAGGCCACCGTGGCCGAGTGTACACCTGTAGCGGTCACTTATTTCTATTGATATCTTGGTGAATTGACTATTTTATCTATAATTACAGCTTAGAAGAGACTCGAATAACTACGAAGAAAGATAAGACATGGACGTGTACATATATCAAGCAATTTGTCTGTGAAGAAGAGATAAATACTCTTGTGTGTCGAATTACAGATTAAAGTACAAATATAGAGAATGTGGTGTTAGATCCTCCTCCAGGCGATCAGGTCCTGGTGATCCTCCTCCTCCTCGATGTTTATGTTAGGCTTCTGTGTAGTTTCTGAATTTATACTCAAAGGTTCAGATAATTAGAGGTTCGTAAATTAACTTTTCCCTTATCTGGAGGACTGAAAATGAACATATCTGTCCAACTTGAGCTACGAAATAACACAGACCAAATTACCGTCAACACTGAAGCGAAACTAATCCGCAAATCATCGACCAGACGAAAAATATGATACAAAAACCGCGAATTTGCTTAAGCTACATTACTTTAAACTGTACGTTACGTTAAGTTAAAATAATTTCTAGATTTTGATTAGAGAATAACTTCGCCTCAAAAATCACCCAGAATTATTATAAAAAACAGATTTATTCTCTTCTCCCACACAAAGTCTTCTGAATTGTAACTTAGATCAAACAATATATCGAAAATATTACCAATTACTTGTTCTGTCTTGGCTGTGAGAATATGATTTGCTCACTGAGATATTTCGTGATCAAAATGCCCTGCGGAGACCGTGTTAAGACTCGAGACTGGAGGGCCACTCATATTATAATGCTCCAGTAACCTAAAATATACCCGTGTGGAGGACTACCTACTGGCTGGGGATCGAACCTGTGACCCGAATATCTTGGGTTAGTAATGTGACCACTTATACATAATGTAGAAACGTACTGAAAGAGATACATTTTTTTTTTTGTTAGGT